CTTTAAATCCTTGTTTAGTTTTTGATGCCGGATTGAAACGACGTAGACACCGTCTCTTTGCATTTAGGGGGACCACTTAAGTAGGCCACGTGTCCGTGGTATTTCAGCACCTGCAGTGCATGGACGCAAAACCGCATCACTAGGCAGGATCGAACAAGGTGACACCCTTACCAAAGAATGAAAAGGATTATATATTTTAGCGGCGGAATCACTAATTATCACTATGCTAGTAAACACATGGGGTCGGGTTTTACTTTTCTGTATAAATGCAATCTTTTGCTGCGGCATTAGAGAAAAATATCTGCTATTCCATGATTTCGGTTATTGATTTTAGGATTTTTTACTCTCTGGAACTGTCAATTTTTTAGCCAGGAGTAAATTGTTACAGCGCAATGCCGGGTATTAAACATTAGTGTCTCACATGTGTCTCCTACGATAAATCGAGAAAATGCAGTGGCATTCAGCTAGTATTTTATTCCGTTATTCCTGTCGCAATCTCTTCGTTTTACAAGCTGTATTAATCATGAGGTACTCAGTTTTCCATACGTTCTTGCTCACGTGCATACCTGAACCGTGTACACGTTTAAAGTTTATTTTCATTTTTTGTGTCGACAGAAGTACGGAAATTAATACACACAATTGTATGCACGTAGATGCGTGCCTAAATAGCTATTTATTTGCTCCTACCACTGAATGTGGAGTGTCTCACATGCTACATAAAAACAAGCCATGCAAACCGTTCTGCGACTACTTACAGTATCCAACTCTAAACATTCTTCCCAGTTGGCGAGGTCTTATTGGAAGCAAAGAAATGTGCTGATGATTTTGTGAATCCAACTCCTTTTATCTCTATTCCGTTATTCAATGAGTCATTTTGATAGCCTGATTTGTCGTTTTCAGAATCCACTACAGTGAATATGCCGTAAAGAGTACCAGTGCATAACTTCTCCAAGAGCATATTTAATGACGTATTGCATTCTTCTGCTCCCTCTTGCTACCAGTTGTCTACAGATGCCATTCAGGCAAGTTACGGCTCCATGGTAATTGAGCACCCGCAGAGTCAGATGCTTCTCGCATCATTTTATCCGTTAGAACCACGTCGCGCTCATCATATTTTGCTGCATGAATATCAAAGTGTGTTTGTATGCTGGAGCATGTCACATAGCGTATAACTCTTAAAAGCCTGGATTAAGTGGAGCATTGCACCACCCCTCCCCTTTACTCCTAGTTGCCTGGAGGAGCCTTCATGGAATGTTTCTCAAATTTGGTTGAGGCTCCAATTCCGTTCGATGCCAAGCGCTCTGGTCTTTAGAGCAGCGAAAACTCGATTTTCTATGACTTCAGAG